TAGATTGTGTTTCTTCGTATTGAAAGTTCGGGAAACAAGTGCTTTATTCACATAATAGCTGCCTTAGTGCATCCATTTCCTGCAGCTGCAGACTAGAAAGTTGCTCGTTTAATTTGTCTAATATTTCTGACTTCCGAAGATTCTTTAACCTAAGGCGCTAGTCAGATTTCACTCCATCGCTAACACCATCGTTGTATAGAACATTTACACATAAGCTAATTGAACTATTAACCAGACTAAATCTACCAAAAACATATTTTTATGAGAAAGCTTTGTTCTGTCCAACTTCCAGGATGGTTAATAAATAAATTTGAGTCCTTTATTTTTAAATTGCACATGATTGTATGGTATGGCAATACAGCTGATATTACCAAAATAAAAACTTCTTTTCTGTGTAGTTCGGGCACACCTTAATATCCTGTTTGAATGAGTAGTCTAAAAATGAGTTCTTTCTCCTTTACAAGTCTCTGATAAATTATATTTGAAATCAAAAATAGTCAAGAAGATATTCTCTACATCTTCGTGGTAAAAGTGTCTTTTCCAAACGCATCAGTAGTCCAGGAAGAGTATGTAACAATGCTACTTCAGATGGACGTAAACCTAAGGACTTTTGAACTGATTCTCGAACCGCAAAATGCAAGTGAAAACGCTTATGCGAGTATTCTGATTTATCAAAGCAATATGACCGAACCATTTTGATCAAAGTTTGATGAAACCTTTCTATAGCTTCTTGAGATGCAATGTGATAAGAAAAAGATTTAAACTGATGAATGCCTAATTCATTCATGTAACATTCCAAACATAAAATATTAGCTTTGATTAGACTAAACCGATTTGGGGAAGCCAATAGGTGTAACAAAAATCTTTACTATGGTTTTAGTTTCAATATTTCTCGAAGGAATTGCCTCAGTAAACCTCATGGTGCCAAATTGTACTTGTTGCATTGTTTGGACGTAACTAAATGATCGATACAGCTAACCCTTTGTCTACTAAATTGTTCATCAAAAGCGGTAAAATGATGCAGCTGCAGCTTATTTGTCTTCGGTTTGGGTTTTCCTACATTTGATAAATGTGACAAGAAAAACATACTTTAGAAAGATCACCTTTAGTTTTCGGCCAATACAAATGATTCATTATGTTGTAAAGAGTCTTTTTGATACCCAGATGACGCAGCTAGTATATGGGCAATATTAAGACTTCAGTGTCGACATGACTTAGAAGCAAGAATTTGATAACTATTGAATGGCTCACTGAACTCCCCTAGCCAGCGGGTGTGCTGCTTAGTATCCATTTTCTGAGAAGGAACCCATTTTTCACAGAATAACAAGCTGTGACTTATGTAGCTTGAACTTCTCTAACAGAGTTTTGAAACAAGCACAAGAGATTTCAGAATCTTGTTCCTATTTGAAAATAAGTGGTTGTCGTTTGTGGCCCTGATTAGAACTAAGAGAATTTTCGTTTGTGGCCCTGATTAGAACAAAGAGAATTGTCGTTTGTGGCCCTGATTAGAACAATGATAATTGTCGTTTGTGGCCCTGATTAGAACAAAGAGAATTGTCGTTTGTGGCCCTGATTAGAACAAAGAGAATTGTCGTTTGTGGCCCTGATTAGAACAAAGATAATTGTCGTTTGTGGCCCTGAATAGAACAAAGAGAATTGTCGTTTGTGGCCCTGATTAGAACAATGATAATTGTCGTTTGTGGCCCTGGTTAGAACAATGAGAATTGTCGTTTGTGGCCCTGATTAGAACAATGATAATTGTCGTTTGTGGCCCTGATTAGAACAAAGAGAATTGTCGTTTGTGGCCCTGATTAGAACAATGATAATTGTCGTTTGTGGCCCTGATTAGAACAATGATAATTGTCGTTTGTGGCCCTGATTAGAACAATGATAATTGTCGTTTGTGGCCCTGATTAGAACAAAGAGAATTGTCGTTTGTGGCCCTGATTAGAACAAAGATAATTGTCGTTTGTGGCCCTGATTAGAACAAAGAGAATGAGAAGTAGAGGATTAATGTGATCAATATATATCGATTGATGAATACGAAAAGCAATGTTTTCCTCATCAAAAGAAAGGACAAAAAAACGTGTCACCTTAAGGAATAATTTCATAATCAACATTATACTCAGGAGATCTGTTATAAACTACAAGCAGGATATCATTCAATGATTTCGTTATCAATAGCATCAACGTTATATCCAAACATGGCTTCTCAGAAGTGCACTAAGCACGACTTTATATCTATCAAGGTCATTGTGACTAGTTTTAAATTAATACACCCTATTGGCAAAGAAGACAGTGTTCATTCGGTGACATGTCCTGAGACTAAGCCTGCCAGATTCACACAATAATGATAAATGTTAATAAAGCCATACTCTACTCGCTGGAAAAAAGTACATTCCCTAGAACAGACTGATGAGCTCATTTGCAACTTGATACGTTAATAGAGATAGCCTGTGGGAAAGGATCAATTTGTTATAGAAATTTCTGACCTGAATAATTAATAAATCTCGAGTATAGCATCGGACCCGAGATTTTCATCTTGCAAAACTATTGCTTTTTATACAGAACCTTGAAGTTGACATCGAAATGAGAGCATTTGAAATATCTGTCTTTATTCGGTTGCTTTTTTCTCAGCTTGTGGCAGTCACGAATGACTTCTCTTTCTGTTTACAATAAGTGATTGTAGGATTAGAATATTATTTATGTTGATTGCTTATCAACTTTTAAATATCAGAAATGATGTCACTTTCCTCTTTTTTTCAATACGTATATATAGGAATAGATAAGGATTTCTGATCAGTATTATCATGCTTATTTTTATTTATTTGTAATTACTCTTATAAGACTGAGATGATGTTTTAACAAAACACCACTGAGGATACGGACAAAACAAATACAACTTTGTGAGTCAAAGATTAATCATTATCTGTGCGAGCAGTATCTTCTAATGATTCTCCTTTTCTTCATCAAGATAGTTCTTGACATCACTATTGATGTAATATGAGCTGTATAGGTTATTGTAATATTGTATCAATCTTCTTGACTAAGCACCACTTATCAATTGTTGGACCTTTTCCTTGCAGATTCGACATGGGTTTCTCCATTTTTGTTTCTCCAATTTATAACGCTTTGTCGATGCACATCAGGGATCTACTAATAATTCGTCATAATACATTACTTAACCACAATATAATCAACACATTGTTGTAGTGAAGGCAGGAGCTTATGCCAATAAATACACATTTTATTGACAATGTCTAATTCGTCCTTTGTGATTTCCAGTTTTCAGAAATTCTGTTTCAAAGTGAACAAAATATTATCAAATTTTGTCTTGAATACACGTACTAGACTGATATCTCTGGTACCATAAGCCTGTTTTTTTTTTGTAATTGGAGGGAAGAGTATACTTATGCAAGTTCTAATTCGTTCAAATCAGATTACATTTTTCTTTTTTCTTTATATCTTTCTTTCGTTCGTTCTTTCTTTAATTTCTTTCTTCCTAACTTTGTTAGTCTCTCTTTGCGTCAGAATTAGTTTTCCTCTCTCCTCTTTACTCCTTTCTCTTTGCATGTATATTTTCATTCTTTTTTCCCTCTGAATCGCCTTTTCCTCTCTCTCTCTCTCTCTCTCTCTCTCTCTCTCTCTCTCTCTCTCTCTCTCTCTCTCTCTCTCTCTCTCTCTCTCTCTCTCTCTCTCTCTCTCTCTCTCTGCATTTTCATTTGCCTCCCCTTTTCCCCTTTCTGAATTGCAGTTCCATCGTTTGTTTCTAATCTGATTCCTAATTTTAATTCCATCTGGGGTTTTTAATTGTTATTCCTTTCATTCCCAGTCAAAAACCGGAGACAGACTTATTAATCAAACCCAAAAGTATAGTCTCCCCAAATGTCGTTTCCTACCAAGCACTGATTCATTATTTGGTTATTTCCTCTTTTATTAATGAAGCTTTCGCGTCACAAATGATCGTGTATGGATCAAATGCTTTCATAATCACTGACCTACCTTGGCTGTCTTTGAAACAATCTTCAGTATAATATGTGACAGTAAGCTTCACTATATATTTTGTACATGTGTGAAATTAATATCTTTACCAAAACAATGACGATTTCAAAATAAAATCATGTAAATTTTAAACAATAATTTTATATCTCACAAATTCAGATCCCGGAGGAGTACACGCATATCCATCCGCCCATAAATTTCTCTTTCATCTCTAGGTTTTAAAGTAAGTATCAGAAAAAAAAGTGAAACCAACAACTTTAAAGTAAAATCAACAAACACTTAATTCTAAAGTGAAAATTAAACAAACACTTAAAGTTATTTGAAATATTTTCTTTTAAATCCAAAATTGCATATCACAGATCCAGAGAATAAATTCTTCGAATGAATTCCAACAATCCTGATTATCCTGATATGCCACAATGGAGTGTTCGGAACATCTTTAAATATTCGTTTAGAATCCCACTTAGATGCTTTTCATAAATCCAAGTAGCGAATTAGTACTTTTATAACTCAACTGGAAGCTTTAAATAATTCCTCTCGAATTAAATTTGAAGCACAACTAAAAACCTTTCTAGAGACTGATAATAAAATAGGAATTAAAAAGGAATAATTATTTGTTTGGAAACACACAATATAGTGTTCTGGGATTCACTAGTTGTATGTCATGACCGATTTGAAAATTCCATCAAATTGTTTCTAGAATATTTTGTACTTTAAGATCTATATCAATATCGTATTTAAAAATTGCAATCATAGATAAACGTTTGCTATCTAAATATGTTATACACAAACGATATATGATATGATTATGATTTTAACGTAGCTTTAACAATCTTTCAGTCACTGTGGCATCATGCCGCAGACATGTAGCATAATGTCCCACCCAGTCAGATTATCCTGACACCAGGCCGACCAGTCCTAACACTAACCTCTTAATGCTGAGCGTCAAGCGGGGCAACTGGTAGTACCATTAGTACCATTTTTGTAAGTCTTTGGTATGTCTCGACCGGGAATCGAACCCACGACCTCCCGCATCCGAGGCGGACGCTCTAACCACTAGGCCACCGGAGC